TGTCCCTGGCCATTTTTTCATATTGTCAGCTAAGCTGGAAGTGCAGTTAGGACCTTCTGCCGCTGTGTCAGCCTTCTGAACATCATAACGGTCATTCGAGTGAACTTTGGTAACTCGATAAGGACCAAGGAACTTTGCCCTTACTTTTAAGCCGGGACCAAATTGTGTTCGCTTGACGGCAACTAGATCACCTTCTATATATTTCCAACTCTCCTTTTTCGGTTGTAATATTTTTTGTTTTCCCCTTGGACAGCTAGGATTTGTTCTTTTGCTTTTTGGCGTAACTCTTCTCTGTTACTAGCATACTGTCTAGCAGTTTCTTCTTGAAGTAATTCCAAAATTTCGATGTATTCTTTACACCTCATCTTAGTACCAATTAATAAGTTATAAGGTGTAGTATTAATACTCCTCTGAAAGATGCTATTCAATGCTCTTTGGACTCTACTCACATGTTTGTACCACACCCCAGGGTTTTCTATACAAAGCTTGGTCAGCATAGGAATTATTATTCTGTGTACTCTTTCCACCTGTCCATTTCCTCTAGGTATACCTGTGGTGATGGTGATGTGCCGGATATTCTCTTCCTTGCGATACTCTTCAAATTCCTGGCTTGTAAATGCAGTCCCTCTATCTGTTATCAGTCTGATCGGATTTCCAAATGTCTGCTGATGTATTCTTCTAGTTTGTTCAGTGTCACTGCACTCGACGTACTCCGAGTTGGAAACAACCACACAAACTTGGTCATCACACATCAAATCACTGTGAGAATATAATTATACTGCTTGTGAGTTTCAGTCAGTGGTCCAACATGGTCAACATGCTGGGTATCCAAGGGTAGGCATTCCTATCCAATAGGGTTGAGAAATCCTTCCTCTTTACCCTCTTTCCTCGTAGCTAATAAACATGGTATGCAGGCAATCACAAATTCTTCTAACTTCTTGTCTATATCCTTTATATAATAATCTCGATTTATTAGTTCCTTCATTTCCTTCTTTGAAAAATGTCCATTGCTATGGATTCTCATTATTATTTCTTTTTCTAATTGTTTTGGTATAACCAACAATTTTTCTGGGCCCTTGAAAAGTATACCTCCTTCTTCTGAGTAATCCTTGTACGAATTCTCTTTAAGTATCTCTTTAATTGCTTTAATGCCATCGTCCTGATCCTGCGCTTGTTTAATCTGATCTCTTAAGGATGTTACTGTAGCTATATATGGATGTCGTCTGAGAGCATCTGCATGACGCATTTTCTCTCCGGCTCGGTGCTCTACTTCGAAGTCATATTCTTCAAGCATCAGGAACCATCTTGCCACTTTTGCTGTTAGATCTTTCTTCATCAAGGTTTGCTGAAAAGCTTTGCAATCGGTTACTAACTTGAAATGTTTTCCGTAGAGATAAGGACGGAACTTTTTAACACCTTCGATGATGGGCATGGCCTCAAGCTCATAACTGGAATACCTACTTTGAGCTTCATTAGTTTTGCGGCTCATATAGTACACTGGATGTAAACCAGTATTAGGTGGATGTTGCATGAGAATAGCCGAAATCGCTGTACTTGAGGCATCAGTATGCAATTCCGTTTCAAGTTTCGGATCAAATATCTTTAAAACCAGCACTTTAGACAACTTATCTTTTAACCTATTAAAAGCCTCTCTTTGATCTTTATCAAAAATAAAATCGACACGTTTCTTCAGCAAGTCATGTAGAGGTTTTGCAATAATAGCATAGTGCTCAATGTACTCTTATTTCCTAAAATAGGAGGTTAACCCCAAGAAACTTTGAAATTGCTTACTTGTTTTGGGTTCTGGAAATTTCATGACTGCTTCAGTCTTTTCTGGAGTTGGCCGTACCTCACCATTCCTGATTACATGTCCCAAATATTCTATTTCTGGCTGTTTCAACTTGGCTTTCTTCCAGTTAACCTTCAACCCGTACTGTGCAGCTATTTTTAAAATCTGCTTCAAGCGTTGCAATGCTTGTTCTTCATCTACAGCTGTAATTATAATATCGTCTATAAATATCATCATTATCTTTTGGGCTAGCAGTTCCCGAAAGATCACGTTAACAAACCTCATAAAATATTTTGGACTGATCGAAAGCCCAAATGGTGCTCGCAGAAACTCAAACTGCCCATGATGGGTAACGAAAGATGTGTAATGGATTGATTCCCTACTTAATTTTAAATGGAAGAATCCATTCTTTAAGTCGAGCACACTGAATTTTCCTTTGCTTCTGATAATTTGTCAATAAGGTCATCAATAATCGGCAATGGATATTCGTCTTTCAAAATTTTCTTATTGAGCTGTCTATAATCTACACATACACGGGTAGTGCCATCCTTCTTCTTCACCAAAACTAGTGGACTGGCATATTACGAAAAATTTACCCTGATTATTCCATCATTCAACCATTCTGTGATTTGTTTCTCCACAATACCTTGTTCCATGTGTGACAAGCGCCTAGGCCGCTGTGCTACTGGTATGTCATCCTTCAGCACAATCTTAAGTTCCAGGGGGGCCTCTTTAACCTGGACTGGATTGTAGTTATCCACACAACTGTAAACCTCCTGTTTAATTAGTGGATTCCTGACATGCTCCACAAGATTTTCTTTTTCACCTGTAAAGTAATTCACACTCGCTAACCACTCATTCTCATTCTTAAATATAGTCACACTTCTCTCACTCACCAACAACGTTACATCTTTCAAAAACCCGTGACTTATAATTATATCATAAGGCATACAGTCTCTAGGTATAATGTGAAACGTAACTCCTTCATAAGATTGTCCATCGATCGAAATTAGCGTCGTAATTTTGCCTAAGGATCGTATATGCGCACTGCCCAATCCCGTCAATGTTAGACCGGCTACATTTAACTCGACGTTAAATAATTTAGCACATAATTCTGCCGAGATCAGGTTCACGTCACTACCTGAATCAATTAGCGCTTTTGAGCTATAATTCTCCGCCACTTTCACAATTTTCACGGGTTTTCCGACATTTTTAGCGCACTGAGAACTTTTGTTTACTATTTGCATCACTTCAGAGCTGCTCGGTGACTGACGTTTCGATGGCATCTTCGCTGTCATGGCCGCAGACGCACTCGTATATCATTGGTTCCTGCCGATCTGTCGGCGTCGATGTCACTCCGAACATAGACGAACGCTGTTTTACCGACTGCTCCGGCGCCGATGTCCCTCGTCTCGGAAATGCACGGAAACGCGATGAACCCGCCGCAGCCTTCTTTACCGACATCTCATTGTTGCGCGTAACTTCGCATTTGCGCCACTAGAGGCGGTGCCGCCTCCTTCACCTCGCCCAATGAGAGAGCATCTTGAAGCAATATGGTCGTCAAAACGATTGCACTGGAAACACTTTATTCCCTTTGTACACTGGTTGGCCAAGTGTTTATCTCTGCAATTGTAGCACCGCCGAGTGAATCCAGATACAGATGATTTTTTCTTTACAGCTGACTCGACCCGCGCTTCTTTTTTCATGTCCGCATGCATCTTTTCGTAGATGAGGAGTTTTTCCTTGAGGGCACTGTAGGTTGTGACACCGTACAATATTACTTTATTTGCCTGCAGGTCTTCGATTCCGTCGATTATGTATTGTATGGCAACGTAGTCTGGAAATTTAGCTCTTTTACCCAACTCTTTCATGGCAAGCATATATTGGTAGAAACTCTCGTCTTTTCGTTTTTTCCTCGCTGCCGTCAACTCGTGCATCTCTTTAGTATTGATAACGTCGGGAAACTCTTTTAGCTAACTTTTTCGGTTTTTAACCAAAGGCCCGCCGTACCACATAGTGATCGTCGTGCTATTATTAACTTTTGTTGTGGCGTCCAGTTGAATATTTCGGCATTATCTTCAATATCTTGCGCCCATATTGATGAAGAATACGTCTTGTCTTCCCCGTTAAATCGCGTCACCGCCCCTTCGAAGCTGTTGAACAACATGGCGGTTGCCGCCGGCAAACTTGATCCTCCGTTTTTACTGCTGCCGTCATCGTACATTATATCGCCTTCTTTATTTAAACGCTGCGTTTGCGTCTTAATTACGTAGTTATACGTCGTTCGACAATAAATTGCACTGAGATCTGTACGTGCGCTCCACCGCCTCGTGAACGCTCGCGCCGGTCACTCCGTCGTTTTGCAGTTTACACGTCTTTCACTTCTTTCACTTTTCTTTGAGATATCCCTGAGGGGCCCCCAAAAATGTGGAATTATCTCAAAAGAAAATCACGTGATCACTTATTTAACTTTTCTTTTACTTTTTTAGTCGCACCTCGTTCGCAAGTCGTGTCCTTCCTTCCTCTGTATTCGCCATCTTGCATCCCCTCTCCTCATCCCTTTCTCTCACATTCCTCTGTCTCTTTCATGCAATTCCCTTTCCCATATATATATATATATATATATATATATATATATATATATATATATATATATATATATCTGTAGAGTGGCTCTACCACGTCGAAACATTCGATTTCTCATTCGACTTTTTCTCTTTTTCTTCTTATTTACACGAATATTACATATGGAATAAAATAATATTATATTATAGATTTTACCGCGTTTAATTTTAGCTTAATTCCCGACGTTGCGGGGTAGTATATTCGGGATAGCGCCATGCTGCAGTTATATTATGTTGCGTTCAGACGCAGCCCGTACACTTACGTGAGTCAAGCAAGCTACTTACACACTCGCGGGCATCTGGTTAGTGCAGCATTCGAGACTTATTTTGGGGGCCCATATTATTGGTTCTTCCTAGTTAACGGTGATCAAATTTTCAGGAAGTATAAAAATTTGTCGTTAGACATGTTGTCACATGCACAAACAGCCTATTCACATGCTTGTGCTCGTTAAACGCGCATCTGAAAGCATCAAATGTGCGGTCAACGCGATATTATGGTTGTAGCAGGAATGGATCGAGCGGACCGAAGAAGGATCATGCTCTTACAGAATACAAGCGTGAATAAAATGAAAAACAAACTTACTTACCGGACATTTTTTGGCGCACACTTCACATACAATATTCTTGTCGTATTTATAGCCGAGATGGACCCTTTTCACGTGTGCTTCTAGATAAGAACGCCTGGCGAACGTGGCCTCGCACTGGAATTGCTCTTCCATTATTAAAGTCCAAAATATATTTTAATTATAGTCTTTATTACATTTTATAATAATACTAATAGAATTTAAAGCACAGAATTGATTTTTCTACAAATCGTTGTGAAAATGTTTTACTGGATACGAGGCATTCCATCTTAGTACTCTGGGGTGTCAACGCACCTGCATTTTTATTCTTAATCGAGGATAGATACAGACTGTGAGCTCGTTTTTTTGCCCTTATTTTATAAAAATTGTTGCAAAGCCAAAGTTAATGTATTTAAAGTGTAATACGAAATTATTACATATCAGCGCGTCTATAAAATACCATATGGATCGAGTAAGCGAGACATTTTGCACTCTAAAGAAGCGTCATATCGATGGTGATGATGTGGAATTAAGGGTATGGAAAAACTTCCACTCGTTTGTGCACAATAAAGTTCACTGTAAGCATCGTGATAGAAAGATTCCGGTTAAGTCATTCTACGATTGATAGTGACTGAGTCGTGGTCCTGTCCGTTGTTGTTTTTCGTCTAGTGTAGGCAGGGGAGATCGTTTTGCTGAGAGTCAGCTTTATTCTACAATGAAATGGCTAGTTTAACTGTTTGTACGCATACTTAGGTAAAAAAGTATAGTTACAGCCTATATACGTCCCACTCCTGGGCACAGGACTCCTCTCATTTCTGAGAGGGGTTTAGGGCAAGGAATAGTCCACCGCGCTGGCCCAATGCGTGTTGGCGATCTTCACATGTCTTCGAAATATTAATTTTTCTTATTTTTCAGACATGCAAGTTTCCTCACGATGTTTTTCTTCACCACCGAGCACGTGGTAAATCAACACTTAAAATTGCAATTAACAATTTAAATAGTGCCAGCGGGGATCTAGACCGGTTTGCTCGCGTATTGTGAACTATCACGGCTCTCATACTTTGATGTTATCGTGTAATTACGTCCCTCATGTTACACAACTGTATGATTGTGACGGCGAAATATTACGGTATGGTCGAACGGTATCTGCTCTATACGAAACGTACAGTGCAGTAATAATTGCGTCTGCAGGAGAGGAAGTTGAACATCCGCACTCACACTATCATTAGTTTTAACAATCTTCTGATGTGTTCACAAAACTTCCGACATTTACATTGTGAAGTTTAAAATAAGAGCGTAGTCTAATTAGTCATAAAGGACACACGCCCCTAATTTAAAACTGTCTTACATACATACTAATTATAATAAATATTTGTAAACTGTTGAATTGTATTGTATTATTATTGTTTAAGTCTAAATGTTTTCACTCGCAGTCACTAAATGGTGCTAGCAGTAAGTTACAGCGCGCTAGAATTTTAATATAGCGTACGTTTTAAATTATTAAGTTTGATGTTTTCGGGTTTCAATGCAACCGCGAGTGCAAGTATCGAGGTCTGCAACGGCGCTAATGGCCGCGAGTTCCAATCCCGCACGGATCAAGTATATTATACAGCACGGAACAAGTATATAAGTAACTTTTCTGGGTCTAGATGTTTGTGCATTTTATGTATGTAAACTGTCCCCACAATAGAAAAATCCTTGTATAGCGGTCACGTTCCTTTTTAAAAAAAAGTGCTTAGTACTCACGTCTGGCACTGACATCGTTAATTCGTTCGCAGTGTTAAGACAAAGGCGAATTCTCCCTACAAGAGGAGAGACCCATGCCTGGAATTGGTCTTTTAAAGACTGATGAAGATATAATGAGAGTTAAAATAATTTTTATTTCACATTACTGCATAAATAATGCGCTTGTAGCTAATCCCTGTGTTTATAGATCACCAGGCCCTCACTCTTATGGGTTGCACATATTTTACTCCCAAATATACAAGATAATAAAATACAAATATAATATAATAAAATACAAAAATAAGAAACATTACAACAAGAAATGACTCTTGTGTATTCAGATGAAGAAGGATACAAAATTAACGCACCTGTTCGCATTGTAACGTTGGCGAAGAATCGTTTGTATACGTTGGCTTGTACTGTAGATTCAACTCACGAATGTGATAGCGCATGTGGGAGGATCGACTCAACGGGGTCACTTGTTCACCACAGAGGGCGCACTGGTAGCTACATGAAACATGCAAAAAAAATCAAAAACCTAGAAAAATACTGTTAGTTACACTATTTGAAGTGAAAACTTCTTTAGAATCCTTGTCAATTAAAAGTAGACAAAATGAATAAGCCTGCGAGAGAATGACAAACAATAAAGTATTAAATTAGTCGTGTTTAGTCCATCTAGCGTCTATTCCATGTAATATTTTGAGAGTCTATCAATTTTTGTTCGATAAAATGGCTTACATATAAAATGCAGTAGATGGTGCTATTACAAAACAGTTCTACTTTAAAGAAAATTTTCTTTTGGTTTATTAAACTAAAATTTAGACACTAAATATTGTTGACATTTATTTGCAATAAAATTAAACTTTTATGTAATATTTTATACCAAATCCAAGAGGTCCAAGGACCGTAAATCACGCACACAATGTGCCACGTGCAAAACTTTCATTTGTAATGATCACCAAAATATAATTTGCCAAAATTTTGCGTTCAATGAGACAAAAATTAATGTAAGACAGCATATGTACGTTGCTTTTTAATAAAACTTCATTACTTTTTGAATAATGTGTCTTTTTTAATTGGGGTGTGTAGGGCACCGGGTACCATTAATGAAATTCTTATATGGTAAATTCGAAATGCGGGGTAATGTTATAATATAATATATATAATAAATTCATCTCATCTTTTAACTGATCGTCATTTATCTCATCTTTTAAGTGATTGTCATTCATCTGGGTCGCTCGATCGGCAAAAACGTTGTGAATTACGGGAAAAGAAAAGCATTACCTGCTTTCTTTCGTAACAGCGTGTTGGGAAGAGGTTAGAACGTGTCTCTTCCATGCGTTCGAGGTCAGGAATTGGATGTTACATTTGCTGCAGAAACGCTCCGAAGCCGGTCCGTCCGGGTTTACTTGCTCCTGAGAAAATTTTTTTTGAAGTTAAAACTTCTTTAGAACATTAGGAAATGCATACCCGCATTACGGGGGCAAGGACGGGTTAGTCGGACTCGTGCCGACTAAAATCCCAGGTTATTTCACCTTGCGCGAATTTTGGTAGGCCCCCGCGCCCTCTTCCATGGCCTCCAACAACACCCACGCAACGGACGCCCCCGCTTTCAAAGCGTGAAAGAAAGTCATCTTGATCCCAGCGGCGTATCTGGTCTTTGGCTCAGCCGCCAACCTAGATTCAGCTGCGGAGGGTAGGGAGAGCAGCACTTTGCAATACCGACACTCCTTTTCACCGCCAGCCCCACCACAGCCACATCAACTGTCAGACACGTGGAGTATAGGACGAGTGGCACAGCGCCATACCTACACTTTTCTCCCTCCGCGACTCCACCTCGGCTGCAGCGGTAGGGGGAGAGGACACCCCTCTCGCGATAACCCACCAGCCCACATCTAAAGTTTGCCACACGTTCGTGTGACTCGACAAGCCCATTCGGAATGGTCACCACGGGTCGTCTCTTTAGCTCGGGCCAGCCAAATGGGTTCCTCTTCGCTCACTGCGGGTGACCAAGCCACGGCTACTAAACCCCCGCCACGACAAGACGGAATGCCTTTCAGGGAGGCTATGAGCGGGGGCACACGATGCGTTACGGTGGCGGTGCGGCGTCAGAGCGGTGTGGCTGCGTCGCCATACATAGAAATATCTGTGGCATATCACACAATGCACTGCGGCTCCGCACCGGACTTGCAATCACCGAGATGAGGCGGGGATGGGGTGAATGCGTTGCAACGTCGGAGTGGCACCGATCAGTTGTTTATGCGTCACAAGGGAAGGCACATGCTAGCTTATTTCGATTTTTTCTCAGTTTTTGTTTATTGTGATTGAGGTTTTAATAATGAGTACTAACATAGAAGATATATATGGACTATCTCGTTACTATAGTCCAAGAAAAGGAAATTCTGTATGCAAAGTCCTATATAGACATTAAAAATAAAAATATGAAAACAAAAGCATAGAAGCAAATTGTCAAGATTTTATTTCCAGACTATGATAATTTTGCTCCTGATATAAAGAACTATTCGAAAATTGTAAAACCTCTTTTCATCTAACAGCAACTCTTTATATTATTGAAGAAAAAACTGTCCATCACTGCTCCTTTGTGTGATGGGACTGATCAAGTATTGTCGTACGCTTCTACGTCGATTTCGGCGGTGGCATAACTGCTGGGGCGCCGGCGGCGCCGCTGCGACATAACAACGTTGCGGCGCCGCACTGCTCGTGAGCCCGCCAATACGGTAAAATCTTTGCGGTGCACTGCCGCTGCTTTGGTTTGCACGCGCGCACACATTGTGTGCCCCCCACTCTATAGGATTTAGCCTGCGAGTAAATAAGATAAAATATTATATTAAATAAGTCGTGTTTAGACCTCTTAGCGTCTTTATAAATATGTGCTATAAAATTTTACTTTTGTCTCATGTTTTATGACGCCCTTGTGATTGTTAATTATTGTATTCATGTCAAATTTGTATTATGTATATTTTATATTTCATTTCTGCACACATGTTTTTCCATTCCCCTAACAGTACGCCTTCTCTTTTAGACCTTATTTTTGTTTCTGATGCTGACCGCGTTGCTTCGCATCTAGGTCTACTATCTGCGTCTTTTTCTAACCACGATCTTATCTTTCTCTCATATAAAATTTTACGCCCTAGGCGCAAATCCAAATTCTTATTCCTAAGAAACTTTAAATTGATTAACCTGGAGCGTTTGAGAAATGATGTAAATAATATTGATTGGTCCTCTGTTCTTAATACCGAAGATGTTATTGAGAAGGTATATGCTTCTAATAACATCATTCTAAAACTTTTTGATACACATGCGCCACTTAAGCGCATCAGGGTTAAACACTTTTCAGCTCACTGGTTTTCAGAGTCTATAAAATCAATAATGTCTAAAAGAAATAAAGCTAAAAGGTGTTATAAGAAGCACCCTACTAATGAAAAGGGGATTGCCCACTCTTCATAGACATTTCGGCCATGGGTGCCCCCACATATAAAAGCATAAAGATATGATAATATATAATTAAAAGAATGCAATGGTTAAGAAATTGGTTTAAAAAAAGTCGGGAATTTTAATATATAAAAGTTTTTATTTTCACAAATACAGTTTTTTAACAACTAATTTTACCGATGTTATCGCGTTTAATTTCTTTGATTTTCAATTCCCGACGTTTCGGGTGCTTTCCAGCACACATGGTCATGGGGGATTGAGGTGACTGGTGTACCGAAATCAGTGTTAACTTGGAGTAACTTCAGCTTTTTAATAACTATTTACGGTCCGATATACGTAGAATGAACTTACTGTCTTGAAGTCTTGCGTGGTATGCTTGGGTTTAGTTTTAATTTTATTAATTACAGGGTCCCAAGCAGGTGGGAGTACCCAGCTTCCTTCTCTATTGAAATTAGAATGTTTTTAATTTCAATAGCCTCACATATCATCCTTGGCAGGAATCGATGTTCTTTCGCGAGGATTTGTGGTCTATCAAATCTGATATATGTATCTTCTTCAGCGGCTTGTAGAATAGGAGCTCGCTTCAAGATGTAGCCAATCTTGTCTGTAACACCTCTGACATATGGTAGTACAGCAGGCACACGCTCGACTGTGCCCGACTTCACTCGGTCACTGTGACATAGGTGCAGGACCCGAAGCTTGTTGTGCAGAACTTGCTTGACGTGCTGAAGCTCGGCAGCCAGGTGTTTGCGGTTACAGATCCCTTGTGCTCTCTGTAACAAAGAGTTGCCCACGGTAGCTAACTGTGAAGGATGATGGTGAGATTCACCGTTTAAATATTGGTTTGTATGGGACTTTTTTCTATATACAGTGTAGCCTATGGTGTTAATAGAATTTCGGATGACTAACACATCTAGGAATGCTAAGGAATTATTTGCCTCTAATATAATATCATAATCACTGAATGGAATTTAGCACAGAGTGGTAACAATGGATAAAATCCATTTTAATTGCACTTCTATCAGAATCATTGCCACTAATTAAAATATATATAAAATATACTTTACGACTGATGTGTCGACTTGCGATTCTAGCCCTAAGTAAAGAGCAGCTAGGGTTAAAGTTTATTCCTTCCGTAATGCCGCTCTTGTGGTTGTTACATAGTTCTATCCGATAGCAATCATTAAATCTAATATGCTCACCATAATAGGAGCGAGCTTGCTTTAATTGGTATGTGCCACAAGCAATGAATATTAAATCATTGTAAGTTAAAACAGGAAATTCCCTAACATTTTCAGAGTCTACATTTATATTTCTAAAGTCTGCCCTAGCTCTATTTAGATTTCGTTCCCTAACATACTCAGACAAATCATTATTTGTCTCCATATTTTGGTGAACTATTTCAAGTATCTGAGCCGCATCATCCCTGTCCCTTATTTTAGTGTGGAATTTATTAATTAGAGCAGCAGCCACAGCAAAGTCTATCATCAAATGTTTAGAAGCCCTGTTAAAATAATTTTGGCGAAATATTTTAAATTGAGTTTTAAAAATGCCATTCACCACCTCGACTACCCATCGACACATAGTCACGGCTCTGGACTTATTAGCTTCTCTAGTCGTTAACTGAGATTCACCATCGGGTGGAGACAAAGGTACATGAACCTGATAACCACAATGTTCTAAAAGAGACAATGATTCCCTAAAGCCTCTATCTATCTATGATGATATAGATATGATCTAGGATGAATACATCTCCAGATTCAAAATATTGCCTTAATGAACTGGATTCATTACCAAATTCATTTTTTATGATATCCGCATCTGAGGTTGTTGCAGAATAAGGGCCTAAAACATCTATGATGTAACCATCACTACACACAAAAAGGAAAGGCTTTATAAGATGCTATATTTGTGTAATGAGTAGGTATTTTTTCTGATATAAATAATTGGAACTTTTTTCTATGTATAATATGTACCATCGGCAATTATGACAGTCCTCCTATTTTCTCCCCCATAAAGTCCATTGGGAATGAGAAGATTTCTTTGAGCTATTTCTGCTCGGGATATATGATTTATGCCCAAATTCATAGGAACAAAATCCTGATTAATTATTTCGCCGGCCATATTTATAAGCCGCTCTAATGTGCTTCTTGGCACTTACAATAATGCTGACATGCGTTCGTCACTGTCACCTATTCTTAATTTCATTAAATATGCAGCAAGTGCAAAACAACCCCTATGTTTACTTGAAAGTCTAGGAACTACAGACAGAATTTGTTGGTATTGTGCCTTTGATAAGCCTAGATAATAATGTACAGTGTGCTCAGGCATACTGTCAATATTTTTAAAGTCTATATGATTGTGCATATTATCTTTCAATAATGTAGCAAAATCTTCAATTTGTGCTGCACTAAACGTTTTAATAGGATTATATATTGATTCTACATTCTGGAGGTACATAGTAATTGTAATCGCAAAAAAGACGTACCCGCAACGCTGTTGGAACAATGAATCGATTGGAGTCGTTACAACCAGGAAAAAAAACATTGATTTTGTGTTAGTGGTGCTCTTACATAATTAGGCAGCAGTATACTGTGATATATGATCTAAGCTTTGTTGATCTGGGTGCAATACATTACCGACTTCAGATTGCAACGAAGATGAACTAGATGATTCAAATGGTTCCCGTTCTGCAGTTGAATGTGATGCTGCTCTATCAAACCTTCGCCAACAATTATTACACACACGAGATGACGATGGCAACCGAAATAATATTAAATACAAAAGTGAAAAAGTGAACTAAATAAAAATAAAATAGATTTGTTTCCTTTAAACTCAAATACATATAAAATATTTATCAAGTTAATTGTTACTGCACAAAAGCAGACTTAATGGCCTATATTATTTAACCCTTTTTAAGGCAGCGGGAATATATTTCCCACCACTAATTTTCACATTATTAGTTAAGCAAATTTTAGGGAAAGATTTTTTCCTATTGGCAACATTTTTATGGATATCCGGTCAACATTTTTCATCTATGGTAATGACACGTCGCCATTTTAGATTTTACACTGTGACGTTTGGAAGACTGAAATCGGGTGTGTTTCGGTACGACTTCTAAAATCTTTATAAATCTTTTATATCTGCGGCTCATGAACGGTAAGTTGTTATTATTTCTAAAGCTTATTGTATATTTCATTGATATTCAAGCATATTTTCAATTCTACATTTTGCAGATTTTGTTAGTAGGGGCTTTTTGTGGTGGTAAAAATGTTCCCTTTGCCCGTGGAGCTGACAGTATGTATTGGTTGTTACAGATTTATATTTTGAAAATGAATGAAAAGGCACTGAATGACTTGGAAATAGCTTGTGCATTAGAAGAGATTTTTGGTTTACCTGATGATCCCGATGTGTCAGATGATAATTTGGAATCCGATGATGAAGATGAGCAGTACAGTACAGTGAAACTTCAAAGAATTTTAGAGAGCCTTGATGAGCCTCATGATGGAATTCTAGCACCCACACCTGATCCACCTGATAGTCTTATTAGTAATATAAGTAATGCGTCTGTTGAAAACCAACCTAGTCCATCACCTCAACCAACCAACAGTGACCGGCTTAGGCGGGCAAGAATAATCCAAAATGCACCCAGTACTTCTGGCACTCAACAGACCTTACGGCGACAACCACAATCACCAGTAGCAAATACTAACTCAGATTCGGAAACAGATGATTCAGACGGCGAAGAGGAAACATGGAAAAAAACTATGTGGACAACTGATCGGCCAAGTCCTAGCGTTTACGATGAAATTCCGATGGAACCGGCAATTATGTTTAGCAGCCGTACTAGACCTGTAACTGTATTTGAAAAATTCTTCACTGATGAAGTCTACGATTTGATAATATATCAAACAAACTTATATGCAGAGCAAAGGAAAGATGAAGGATGGACACAATTAGATAAAAAAGAACTGAAGGCCTTTGTAGGGATTTTTATAATAATGGGATACAATATTCTGCCTTCTATTGACCTTTATTGGTCTTCCGACCCTGGTTTCAGGGTAGATGAAATAGCAGAGACTATGACCGTAAAGCGATTCAAGAAGATATTGCGAAATCTGCACGTGAATGATAATACACAGATACCAGATAAGACAAGCGAGAACTATGACAAACTTTACAAAATACGCCCATTATTGGATCTTATCACTCAGGCATGTCAGAAAAATGCCAAAGACTCCTCATCCCAAAGTATTGATGAATCGATGATTCTCTTCAAAGGCCGGTCTTCCATGAAACAGTATATGCCTCTAAAGCCCATAAAAAGAGGTTACAAGGTATGGTGTCGCTGCGACAGTAAAACTGGGTATCTCTATGAATTCTACATATACACTGGAAAATCAAAAACCGGAACAGAGGAAGGACTAGGATCCAAAGTTGTGAAGATGTTGACTGAAAAGCTGATAAATAAAGCACTGGAGGAATATCATATTATTATTACATTTGACAATTTCTTCTGTGACTACACTCTAATGCAATATCTATATGAAAATGGCATTTATGCTACAGGAACTGTACGAAGACACAGAAAACATCTGCCTGTACTTGTAAAAACGAATCAGAAGCTTGCAAAAGGACAATATAAATGGAGAGTCAAGGGAAATGTATCTTTCTTAGTTTGGCAAGATACCAAAGAGGTTCTCCTATTGAGTAATGCATTCCATCCAAAAGTTGGCAAAACCACTGTCTTACGGACTCAGAAAGACGGCACAAAACAAGAAATCAACTGCCCGTTAGCAATAAAGGAGTATACTAAAAGGATGGGAGGCGTTGATCACTTTGATCAGATAAAAAGTACCTATTCAGTAGGCAGAAGAAGTAGGAGATGGTGGGTCCGAATATTCTTTTTCCTTTTAGATACAAGTATAACAAATGCATACTTGTTATATTGCCAAAATAAGAATGCGACAAAACTAAGCAATCTTGAATTTCGAGTCTCTGTCGCTAGAGGACTGATCAGTGGGTTTTCCAGTAGAAAACGACGATCTGGTAGTTTAGTCAACTATATCTGCAGAAAAAAAATTGCTTCTGAGAATCGCCAAAAGGCAGTGCATGTTGTCGCAGAGGAAGTTCGTTTCACCAACGTTGGAGACCATATGCCCGTTGAATCGCCTTCATATAAACGTTGCAGAATGTGTAGCACAAAAGAAAAAGACAAAAGATCGAAAGTTATATGTGAAAAATGCAAAGTTCCGCTCTGCATAACACCATGTTTTACTGCATTTCATAGGAAAGGCTAGTTAAGGCGTCACGGGCAGCGGGAAAATATTTACCACCGTGTTTTTTTAAATTTTTGAATTTCTTATTTGCATTTTGTGAAAAACCATAATAAAAATAGTCTAAAACCATCAACAGTTTTACTTATCCACCCCTAGATGCTTATGCTTTATAAAGGGTTAATAATTAAGCACTTAAAAACTACCAGTAGTCCAAAAAGAATGAAAAATCGATTGTCTCATTACTTGTTAGTTGGTAAAAACGGCAGCAGTCTACCTGGTGGTGACAAGCTAATCTTATCGCCATGTTATAAATAAGCTTGTATGTTTGTCAGATATAGTTTGTGTGGATGTAATCAGAGTAAAACATGTATCACTATCAGATATGAGCACACACACTTAATACATTAAAAAATGTTGAACACGTACCTCACGTGGTGCAATTTGATGGGCAATTTCATTCCTTATGAGTTCCTCACGTGGAGAATCAGACCCAAACAATGTGTGTGATCTTATTCTCAAAAGTGACTTGCCACAGCTGATACATACATGTCCATGACTAATAATTGGTGAATTTTCCTGTTCGCTAGTTGGATGTCGTATTTGATTCCAGGCCGCAGTCCAACATGCGTGGCATACTACACTATCACTCGAAACTTGTACCTAATAAAGAAGCCATAATTATTATATCTATTGATATAATTATAAGACAACTCAGTTAATAAGCATTGCTGCAATTGTAGAATGAAGAATAGGAAGACATGACACATGATTGTAACTATTTACCTGCTGTGGTCGAACCCATTCTTGTATAAGATTTCGCAGTTCTGGAATTTCCAACAAATGCCTTCGTGTTTTCGCTATATTTAAACAACAATTTATACAGCGAAAATGTCCTCTTGAATGAGTTACCGAGGGCTGGGAAGAAGTCTGGCCGGCGTGGACGCAGGGATCATTGTTAACAGTGGATATCGAGTCCAAGTTCGTGCAGGGTTTATTGAAGGAAGCGCGTGCGGGGTCCATGTTCAGGCCGTGGTCAGTAGGGTGGGAAAAAATGTCAGAGTCCATTTATAAGGCTTGTTCGTTACTTCGATAACAAATTCACAAAAATAAAAACAAACAAAATAACACACAAATGAATTCTACATGTGACTATTTATATATAGATATAGTTGTGAACTGAATTGTGATTTCATTCTATGACAGGGCCTAGCTGTCAGACTCGATGTTGCCACTTAACTGACATAAAATCGATGAAATTATATCGATTTTTATTCGATTAATAATATCGTTAAAAAACAATCTTTGAGGCGCTTTAAGTTCTGCACGCTTTTTAAAATATATTTTCCTTTATTTATTTAAATGCTATTTGAAATGTATTTTTAAGAACAGTTAAATTGTGCAGTAGCGTTTTTTTAAGCTTTAACCTTTTGAGCGCCACGCCAAAAACGCATTACCGTGTCCTGTACGCCAAAGCGCCAAAACAAAATAGTGTTGCCAAGAGTTGATATATCGATAACGTAAAACAACTTGTTTTTGTTGGATTTTTATGCTATAAATGATTCTTAATAAACTGTATGTTTTATTTAATCTTGTGCTGTCTTCCACTCTTTTTATATATGTACTTTGTACATATAAACATAAATAAAAAACAAACAATAACAATAAAATAGTAGTAAACCACTGCACTACTCTCCATCCTAATGACGACACTGTCACGACTGGACGACAACGGCGTAGCTGACCTTCCTTTTTGAAACATTCTTAGAATGTTGTGTATCAATTTAACCGAAATATACAGACATCGATTCATAATATTTTATGTGTCGGGGAAGGCGTAGGCCACGCGAAGCACAGAAGAAAATCTTACACTCTTATGAAAATGGGGATTTGATATGATGGTGATGCTGCTAGATGATTTTGAGACTGAGAAAGAAAATGGGCACAACACAAAATGAAAAATTGCTCTTCACACCTTAAGTAAAAAAAAAACATTAATTGTAATTTTGTATTATTATTAAAAAAGGTACATAATTATTCATTAATCAATAATTGTATATAATTATTCGCACTAGGTAAATCAGCCTTATAATATTAAAATCTTGGTCATGGAATAAATAAACATAATTGTTCACCAATCAATCAAAAATTCAATTCATTAATCAAAAATCAAAATTCATCATCATCGACGCTTTCCAAAATCCGAATGAGTTCTGAGGAATCGTTCATGTTGCATTGCTCTACTTTTCTCGGTAATCACTTATGACGTCATCAGGGTGTCGTCTATTCTTGATCACGGTGCCCAGTGAACTGACTTTCGATGATGCGCCAAAGATGCGCTAGAGTTGAGATATTAGATTTATTATGTGAAGATGATCTGATAACATTTTTTTATTCATGTAGCTAATTATGGTTTTATGTTTCTAATTTTTAATTTTATTCAAATATCAATAATAATAGAAAAAAAAACACCATTGAGCTGAATTTTGGATAGTTTTCAAGAAATCTATGCCTCCCGCGTTTGACACTAGCGGTGAACCATAGACGACTTTGGCGTGCTGGACATAGTATTTGCTTAGATAAAAATCCATTTTTATTAGTTCAATGTTTCTTAGTACTTGTGGCTCTAGAAGACTTGTTTTATATACTCACATGTTGCTGGGTTATTCCTATTTTGAGGAGTGTAGAATTAAAATACCTGTAAAAATTTTCCAATATCTATATTTCATATTTTTGAGAGCCGAGTTTTTTGTCAACTATAGACGTCGTTGGCGCTCAGGGCCCGCAAGTGTTGGTCAAGTATGGGCGACTTTGGCGCTTAAAAGGTTAAAGGATTCATGGTAAATCTGCTGGAAACTAACTTGTTTCGTTATCATAACATGATTCTATTTTAAATGTATTGTTATAAACAGATAAGAATAACTTAACCGATCTTCTTTGAAAACAGATAAGAATAACAGTTCTTATCTGTTTTCAAAGAAGATCGGTTAAGATTAACAGTTAAATTGTGCCGTAGAGTTTTGTTACTTTCTAAAGAATTCATTGAAAATCAGTTAGTAATTCGCTTGTTTAATTATCATAACATAATAATTATTTAAAAATTGTATTAGCACTGTGATGATGACACCGTAAATAATCGATCAAAAAAAAAATCGATTTTTAAACGGTTTTATTTAGCTCACCCCGTTTGTTTTATTTATTATTCTTGGGTCAAATTTAGTAATTCAAATTTCATCCTCTTCCTGTCAACCGATTAATCTGAAATTTTGTATACACTTTGGATTTTGGTGACAATACAATTATGTTTATTCATTATCATTATAAATTCAAGATGGCCGCCGCTACAAAATGGCGGATAATTTATGTTTTATTAATCCCATCAATATGGGTATCAAATGAAAGGGCTCAACAAGCAGAATTCAATATACTATAAAAAATTGAAATACAAGATGGCGGCCGCTACAAAATGGCGGATAACGTAGGTTTTATCGATCCCATCAATATGGGTATCAAATGAAAGTGCTCAACCAGTATAATACAATGTACTATATAAAATTAAAATCCAAGATGGCGGCCTCTACAAAATGGCGGATAATTTAGGTTTTATCAATGCCATCAACATGGGTATCAAATGAAAGGTCTCAACAAGTAGAATACAATTTACTATGCAAAATTGAAATCTAAGATGGCCGCCGCTACCAATGGCTGATAACAATTTTTTATCAATCCCACCAATATGGGTATCAAATAAAAGGGCTTGACAAGAAGAATACAGTGCACTATACAACCTCAATATTTAAGATGGGCGCAGCCACCAAATGGCGTATAATAATAAGATTTAAATTTAGAAATTGAATCTGCAATTTAGGTATCTGATTAATCCAGCCTGAATCCACCACCCAAGTCAAGATTTTGTATCGTGTTGAGGACTGTGTGGCGTTAGGGTGGCTAAAAAAGGTTTTATCAATCCCATCAACATGGGTATCAAATGAAAGGTCTCAACAAGTAGAATACAATTTACTATGCAAAATTGAAATCTAAGATGGCCGCCGCTACCAAATGGCTGATAACAATTTCTTATCAATCCCAACCAATATGGGTATCAAATAAAAGGGCTTGACAAGAAGAATACAGTGCACTATACAACCTCAATATTTAAGATGGGCGCAGCCACCAAATGGCGTATAATAATAAGATTTAAATTTAGAAATTGAATCTGTAATTTAGGTATCTGATTAATCCAGCCTGAATTGTCCACCACCCAAGTCAAGATTTTGTATCGTGTTGAGGACTGTGTGGCGTTAGGGTGGCTAAAAATGATACGTCGTTAGCGGTACACCACCCAAGTTAAGATGAAAGGTTAAAACGCGCCGAGAACTGTATGGCATTAGGGTGGATAAAAATGATATGTCGTTAGCGTTTTCCCCTCAAGACTCAGGTGCATCTTGTTGTACATAGCCTTGCCCCTTTATTGGACCTCTGGGGGGGTCGACCGTTTAAATGTCCATTACTCGTGGGAACAAAATGGTAAAAAAAAATATAAAAAATACAAACACAAATAAAACAGAAACTGCAACACAACGTAAACGAAGGCTTCAAAAAGCGAAAGAAAAGTATAAAGCAAAACGAGCTAAAGAAAGTGAAGGTGATAGAAATAGTCGATTACAGAAACGACGGGAACAATTAGCGTCAAAAACACCTGAGCAATATGAGGCCAGGTTAAAAAAGCAACGTCAGCGATATACACAAATGACGGCGTCAGAAACGCCTGAAGAATATGAAGCCAGGTTAACAAAGCAACGTGAGCGATACACACAGATGATAGCGTCAGAAACGCCTGAAGAATATGAAGACAGGTTAACAAAACAACGGGAGTGATACACACAGATGATAGCGTCAGAAACGCCTGAAGAATATGAAGAGAAAGAGATTGAGTACTGGAGTTAGATTAATACAAGGCCGTGAAAGACAAAGACAGCAGTTGAGTTCAGAAACGCCTGAACATCGCGATACGAGGTTAAATAAACAACGAGAGCGTACCCAGCAATGCAGAGCTAATAATCTGCAGGCATTCGAGAATGCTATTAACACAATTTGTATACATGTTTGTGATATTTGTACCAAACGTTGTTATCCTAATCAAGTTCGTACAGTTCGGTACAACGCTGCTGCATTAACATACTTACCTGTGGAGTTAACTTCGAAAATATCATTGTTATTATGTTCCCGCTGTCAAACATATGTTACTAGTAATAAAACAACAGCACCACCAAAAGCTTACTGGAATAATCTGGATCCAGGTTCTATATCAGAAGTTATTCAAACATTGACACAGGCGGAACAACGTTTGCTGTGCAAAATAATTCCCTTTGTTAAAATCGTGAAATTTAGTGGCCTCTATGGGCAGTACGGTTTTCGCGTACAGGCAGTTTTATTTGCCCAAGATATCTTTAAAGTCAGTGAACGACTGCCTAGTATGCTACCAAGATCTGCAAGCCAGGTAGGCATTATTGTAGTAACCGAACGATTAGAAAATTTGAACATCACCAGGGAATTCACAATATGTCGCGTAAAAGTCTATAGTGCTTTAAGATGGTTAATCAGAAATAACCCGCTTTACAAAGATGTACGTATTGACGACAATGCCCAAATTAGTGACCAGGAGTTAGTACGACTTAGTGTGCCCGAATTGTCTGAAGATGAAGCGTCCGAAAGGAATGAAAATGAAATTCGAAATGCATTCATTCCAATTAATAATGTTGCAAGAATTATTCGAGCTTCATGGCATCAAGGTGACTACAACGTCTTTACTTCGCGATATGCTGGTGTACAATGTAGTGCTATGGCGTTGGCGAACATTGTCCGAGCTGCAATCCTAAGCCCTAATCAATGGGACGTCAATATTCTGAATGCTAATATGTTAGCGGGTGACTCCTTATATTGCTGGATTCGTACCCAGCTTGATCCTACTGAACTGGATGAAACAGGATATTTAGAGATACGAAACTTTCATATCGTCAGGCAAAGTTTACAAATGTAGGAATGCCGATTTTCTATAGAATATGATGAAGACACTCTTTTATTCGGGAGTCTCCAAGATTCTGTAAATACCAATAATATCGGCATTACATTACATACAGCTTTAAATAGATTATTTGATAGTCATTCTTCAGGAATATTGACAGCGTCAAATAAATCTGTTAGCGTATTTCGCGGTGAAGACAAATACTATTTTGCTGACTACCATTCTTGTGGCCCAAAAGGAAAACCAACACCAGAAAATGGCAAAGCCTGTGTTATAGAATGCGACAACTTACAAGAACTGTGCCGCATCTGTAAAAGATGCCTCGGATCCCGTAATATCGCGTACACCCTTACACGCGTAGACGTACATTTGAGGGAAAATATTATCACTCGTCAGGGTGTTCAAGTACAGCAACAGGAAGATGCCATCACTCATCAGGATGTACAAGTACAACAACCGCTTTCGAATCTGAGATCTGAAACTATACCTATACAAACATCTGTAATGTTGCCTATTGATAGCGTCCAACCTGATGTTGAAGATGAGCTAGAGGTATCTGAAAATGTAAACGAAATCAGAAGAAAGACGAATAATAATATTGTGAATGAAAGCTTATGAGTTAAAAGCAGAAGAGTTCGCATGGTATCAGCTTTTCCCGTATGGTAAAAATGGTTTGAAAGAACAACGGCCCGTAAATATAAGTCCTTTGGATTACTATCAATTTCGTTTATTAGGTGCTGATGTTAGATTTCAGCGCAACGATTACCTATTCTATGCTCTATCAATGTTTGAGTACTATCGAGTTAAATCAACCATTGCAGCTTGTGCTAGAAAAGTTGAAGGTGAAAACGGCAATCGAGTGGAAGACCTGCACTTATATTTAAAAAATCTAAGAGGTTCCGCTGCTTATTGGCGTAGTACTCTTAGTGATCTTATAGCACAAATCAGTTGTTTAGGACCTCCCACTTATTTTGTTACATTGAGCTGCAATGATCTTCACTGGAAGGTTATGAAAAGAGGTCTCCTTGTTAGTGATGGTAAACAGCGCATTGACCCAGATGACATGATATTCAGGAAACTCAGAGACTCATCGAGAAGTATCCAGTTGTTGTGAGTAGAACATTTTATGGTACGTGTTAATGCGCTAATGCAGTTTCTTAAAACTGATACTGAAATATTTGGCGGTAAAGTTAAAGATCATTGGTGGCGAATCGAGTTTCAGAACAGAGGAAGTCCTCATTTGCATATGGTTGTTTGGATCAAAGATCACCCGTCTGTTGCGACAACTGAACGAATAGCTCGCATTGATTCAGTCTGTAGTACTGCCATTCCTCCAGAAACTTCAGAACTATATGAATTAGTTAAAAATTGTCGAATACATCGACACACTAGTACCTGCACGAAAAATAATTCTGTTTGTCGTTTCAACTTTCCACGCTCGGAATGCTTAGAGACACATGTTATTGATCCTTCATCTAACGAATTCATCTACAACGGTGGTCGCATTTGCGTTCTGAAAAGAAAAAGTGAAGATGGTTGGGTAAATAATTACAGTCCTGCTTTGCTAAAAATGTGGAAAGCCAATATGGATATACATTCGTGTGGTACCAATGAGTCGATTGCGTATTACATCGCTAAATACGTGTCAAAATCAGAACCTACAAACCTAGATGGTGAAGTATCTCGAGCTATTCAACAAATTAGAAGAGAAGAAACTGACGTCTCGCGTAAGCTGTTTAAAATATGCATGCGCATATTAAGAGAACGTCAAGTTTCAGCCTGCGAATGCGTATTCAGGCTATGCCATTTGAGTATGCGTGACAGCTCGAGAAAAACAATTTTTGTCAATACTCGTAAAGCGGAACAAAGGTATAAAGTGTTGAAGTTTAATGAAGCTGGTCAAGCAGCAGGATATTGTGCCAATATTTTCGAACGATATGAAAAGCGACCAGCAGAGCATCCCAACAATATATGTGTCTCATAGAATTTGCGATGTTATTTGAGCCACACTACACAAAACCGCCAGTTATAAATGAAGAGAGCATCGATACCGATGCTTATGCACCGCACGAGCAAACAACAAGAAGGCGTCTTATAACTTTAACAGATAACACCAAAATGACTATTAGAAACACGCCAGCTGTAGTACGGGTACCTAACTTCGTAGCAGCTTCTGATCCAGAGTCATATTATTACAGTTTACTAATCCAGTATATGCAGTATCGCAATGAGGCCGAACTTTTAGGAGAATTTAATAGTGCCAGAGATGCGTTTCTCGCCAACGAAGAAAGTTTAAGACAAACAAACGCCTACTTGGAAATATATCGTGAACGTCACAGGCAGCTTGAAAATGCATTCGCGCAAGTACACGCATTTCAGATACTGGAACACGCAGAGCCGATGGAACTAGACCATGAAGAAGAAGTTCCTTATTTGCCAATGAATGAAGACCAGTTCTTACAGGCTAAGCAGTCTATGAATGCAGGACAAAAGGAAATTTTTACATTAGTTACCCAGTCCATACAAAATCAAATGTCAGGTGCTGAAGAACGTTTAAAAATATTCTTTACAGGAGGAGCTGGTGTGGGCAAGACTTTTCTATTAAAGTTATTACGAGACCAAATTAATAGGTGTTACGCAAAGGATGCGGTTAAAGTCTGCTCACTAACAGGAGTTGCAGCTAGATTAATAAATGGAGCTACGATACACAGTACTTTAAAATTGCCTGTACAGAAAGACGGTCGCATAACAGGTATGTCACCACTGTCCGGAAACTATTTGCGAATAATGAGGCAACAATGGCATCAGACAGAATTTTTGATTGTCGACGAGATTTCCATGGTGTCTTATCAAATGTTATGCATGATGGACGCTCGATTAAGGCAAATTAAGAACTGTGAAAATGAGTTTTTTGGAGGAGTAAACGTATTACTTTTCGGTGATCTTTTACAACTGCCTCCTATAAAACGATCAGGAACACCTGTTTTCAAACAGCCAGAACATCTCCAACCAGCTACACATCTCTGGCGTTTATTCACGCTGTGTGAATTAACTGAAAATATGCGTCAGCAAGGTGACCAGACTTTTATTGATATTTTGAACGCTTTGAGAGTCGGTGAGCTAACAACCCAACATTTTAGTATTTTAATGGGAAGACTTCTTCAAGACACGAGTGATGAGTTTGCAATAGACAAAGCGTTAAGGGTATACCCCACAAATCAACAAGTTAACGACCACAACTCTGCTGTATTGAATTTGTACAGAAATAATGGTGCTCGCATTTACAAAATACAAGCGCAGGATCAGCTAGTACACGCCACACGAAATGCAGACAATGTGGATATAGCTACTATAATAACAGCTGATATCAACAAAACTGGGGGTTTACCAGCAGAACTGCAAATATTTGTGAGGGCAAAAGTCATGCTACGGTCCAATATTGACGTTTCAAAGGGATTAGTAAATGGCGCTATAGGCTACATCAACGAAATCGTTTGGCCTCAATTTCGTCGAACTCAGATGTATGCAACAGATGTACCTTCCGTCCGAATTGATTTCGCAAGAGACGGAGTACATCTTATACACCCGAAAGCCATACAGTTTCCAGCTAAGTACAATTACGGGACGGCTGAAAGAAGAATGTTGCCTTTAATACTATCATGGGCTTCTACAATACATAAAATGCAGGGCGGCACTGTGGATCACGCATTCGTATGCTTAGGTGCGAAACTGTTTGAAGAAGGTCAAGCCTACGTGGCTCTTAGTAGAGTAAGATCTTTGCAGGGACTACGTATAGAGGAGTTGGACTGCAATAAACTAACGGGCAAGAAACCTTGCAATAATGAAGCACTAAATGAATTAAACAGAATGCGAAATAAAAACTAAAAACTAGAAAATAAAAATAGGTAAAAAAACTTTTTTAAGTTAAACGGTTTTATGTTAAACATACATTGCAATGTTTAAGATAAATGTACTAAAAACCAAAAAATAATAAAATAGATACAGTCGTGGGAATTATAAACATATGCATAGACTAGACTAAAATAAAACAGTGGGGCACGTCAATTGTCTACAATCGTTGATTAAAATGTTTGTTTTGTAATGTTACACTATAATTAGGCAGTTTTTCAACCGACAACGATGGACGTGTGATAAGTAGGGCTAGAATGTGGAAACAAGCTAGCAAGCTCGATTATAAGCGAGTTTTAGGGTTTCATAGTGGTGAGCGAGTAGTACTTTTATCATATGTTTTGTCGATTAAAGACAAACTACGAGCAGTGAAACGATTCCTCGCCAGCCAGCAGTGTGAATGTCCAACGATAAACTAGTTGAAACATCTCTTTTATTTACATGGAGTGTATAACTATTGGAATTTCCATGAGCAAGAAAATAGTAAGTAATTTCCTCACCGTCTGCGGGCCAACTGCCTATTTTAACGACGAATTAAACGATTCTTCTATCGCACATTAAGTCGATAATTTGTAGACAATTGACGTGCCCCACGGTTTTATTTTAGTCTAGTCTATGCATATGTTTGTAATTCCCACGACTGTATCTATTTTATTATTTTTTGGTTTTTAGTACATTTATCTTAAACATTGCAATCTATGTTTAACATAAAACCGTTTAACTTAAAAAGTTTTTTTACCTATACCTGTGTGTTTGTTATCCTGGCACAAACAGTTCAAAACATCTTACTTTCTCACTATTTATCAGTGTGTAATAACAGATAAGCATGATATTACCTAGTCATTTTGGTATTTTAGAACCCAGCCATTTTAAGATGTATAATTAGGTATTTAATAATCAACCAAAGCATATTAAAAAAAGTCGTGACACCGGGCCTGTCTGTTTGTCTGCATTAATAGATCTGAATTATATGTCTGAATTATAGACTACGTTGGAAATGATGATTTACTATCTATAAATACGGTTGCATTATAACTTGATTTTCACACAGTCAGTTTAAAACATCTTTCTTACTATATAACGTGTGTTGGTAATATTATAAATATAAATGGAGATATTATACCTTAGTTATCTTGAATTTAATCATATTATTTTAATGGTATTTGGAAAGTACACTCCATACCACATTTGTACACGGACAGGCACTATATTTTGCCGTACTAAAAAGATTTTCCATGGATTTTGAAGTACCTGTAAATGATGAAATGCTGAATGTACCTACAACTTGGTTTTATATAAACTATTATTCAACAGTGCACTATTTAACTTAAAATACCGGTAAAACTACTATAAATAGCTTTTAGTTTATTTCTAGGTTATTTTAAAATTTGTATTTTAATTGTTAATTTCTCAGTTTTCAGTGGTAAAACTAATATTACTATTGTAATCTATAGATTATAAGGAATAAATCGACATGCATTTCATTGCGGGACGCGAAAATTTGTGGTGGGCCCATTCTCCATACAAAAATTGATTGTCTCCTTTTGAATCGTCTATTTAGACAACTTTCCCTGGGCCACCAATCTTTCCGATGGCCCCTTGCCGCTCTATTTGGTAAATGACGACTGTCTCCCGGCAGTATTTGTTTCAATCGCAGACAGACACCATGGATAAACAGCCTCCCTTCATATCTTTTTTAGGGACTTCATGGATTGCATGAAGTTGGTAATATTATACGTCTTCATAGCTCCAGCGATGTGCATAGCAGTAAATCAGATAGAATACCCGTGGAAATGATATTTTAATATTTTCAAAACAGGTGCCTTTGCCACGAGCTACCCTGGATCGGGCTCTGAAATTTCCTTTATTGAACACAAAGGAGGCCACATTTTTATTTTGCCCATATTTCACTTTCAGTAGGGATTAATCCATTTTCAACGGCAAACCACACACTGCTCTCAGGTACCGAGCTCTCGCACGATTTGGGGTAAATAAAACAAAAAAGAACAAGAAGAAGTCGAAAGTAGAACCAGGCGGTAATCGGAGGTCCGATAATCGAGCAAGGCTCAAGAGTTGGGAGCAAAAAATGAGCGCAAAACATTCCAAGTCCCAAGGCAAAAGTGAAATAGTGACTAAAAAAATATGTCTCTTTTTCATGTGTCTTTTTTCTGTTTTTTCATGTGGTTTATGTTACACAACCGTATGTTAGAGTAGGATAGCACTATAAACAGATCATACAAACAATACTATTGTTATTTAATAATTATATTGTTGTTGCGTGTTATTTTTTAAAACAGATAAAGACCATGCCCTACTGCTATCTCTTTCTAATAATTATATTGTAATTCAATTTTCGTATCATTTTTAAACGGATATAACCTCAAAACTATAACTATTGATATCTTGAAAACTAACGATTTCCGGCATAAAAACAGCTGGATGGTAATCAATAGTATCATTGCCTGTAAACTAAAGCTAACATGATTACTTAAATCGTACCGCAGATTACTAAAGCCAACCCAATTCGAAGAGAAGATCTAGGCTGTACATGCACTTATCAATCGCTGCTCTAGAAGTGATATCGAGTCTCGGTTACAACAGGACTTCATCTCACAACTACCTAATGAACTGGCGTTAACAGTTTTAGGATACTTAACCCTTAATTTGACAATGTCTAATATATTATACGTTTGATGAAAAAAAATCTACAGCTTTTGCATTTAAAAACTACTAAATTTCGTTTTGAGCATACTCTATGGCAACATTTTACCTGTTGAAGAAAAGTATTTTATTGTCTGTCCATTCAATGTGACATAATATTTCTCACATAAAAGTTTTTGAAAATGAATCGTCAACGGACAGCTATGGTAAGTTATGTTTTTTTATTTTTTTTTTATTCAGTAATTGTGTTGATTTCGCATAAAATTTTATTGAAAGGCAATCAGATATAATAATTAAAATAAAAAAATGCAGTTTTATACACTGACGAGAGTGTTAGACAACATTAAAGTCCTTAGTATAACGGGCTATACAAATCGCTATTCACAACAAAGTTGAGTTATAAATATTGGTATAACAGGCTAAACTTTTGCTATATTTAACAAAGTAACAAATTTACTGTTTGTAAAGAGGGCTTTACATTTCATTATAGCTAGAAAGTAAAACTAATTAATGTGTGTATATAATTTTAAACATTTTTTATTAATTTATTAAAATATTTTATCTTTGTAATGTTGAGTTGTTAGTGTACAGTTAAGCAATGATGGAGATGAAATAACTAAATAGATAAAAATCCCTTTTCAAATAATGATAAAAATATTTTTACTGTACCACTGCGTCTCATTTCTCGGTAGGTAACGAGTTGAAGTATACAATTGCGCCTGCATAATTCTAGGTGTGTTGTTTTGCGTTTGTTTCTTGCTTGGGTTGCGGATTATAGCATGTGTTTTATTTTAATAGGGTAAACCCCCAACAAGGAGTCATCGCATTCTCGCTTTGGTTCCACCTGAACATGGAAGATCTGATGCCAGTGGTGAATCTTCTGGGGAAGAGGGTGAGGAATCTCATCTATTTCGAAATTGCGTATTTTCAGACACATCTTCTGAAAATCCTTCAATTGACTCATCCCTAGAGCGACTGGACTTGTTATCTGAAGACAATTTCGGACCCACTCTTGACCCTGATCAAAATTTCTTTGCACAAGAATCAAATTCAGAAGATGAAACTGCACCGTCCCATATCCGTCATCCATGTTTTATACCCGAATCTGATACTGAATATGAGCATTCATCACCACACATTCTACAAAACATTATTTCGCCAAAAACGAATACCAACTATGCTGAGGATGAAATTCAAGTGATATTACCAGAAGAGTCGTCACCCATTGCGGTAATGCCTTCTTGCTCATCCTGGAATGGAGACTTACCATCTATTCCGTCTAATATTTCATCTCTTCCCTCTGAACCGTTTCCTACGCCATCAACATCAGCTGTGAGTAAAAAAAAATCTCCCGCAAAAAGATTGTCAAAACGAAAGATTACAAAACAACAACAGCCTGCTCCTACTAAAAAGAAAACAACATATAGACAACATTGTGCAACCTACTTATGAGTGGAAAAATACTAAATTCCTTCATCGTGCTGAAATTTCAGAAGACACTTTTAACGCTCACATTCCTGTGAACAAATCTCCACTTCAATACTTTTATGATTTCTTTTCCGAGGACATACTCGATGAAATAGTACAAAATACAAATTTATATTCTGTGCAACAAACCGGTCGATCTATTATAGTGACGAAGGATGATATGAGAGATTTTTTATCAATAAAACTCATGATGGGGATCATTTCTGCTCCATCTTATCTAGATTATTGGGCATCAAAAACCAGATGTGGATTTATCGCAGATTTAATGACTCTTAAAAGGTACCAGCAAATACGCAGATACATGCACTGTGTGGATAATACAGTTCCTGATACAGACCCATACTTTAAAATACGACCATTTATTGAAAAAATTAGACAGAATTGCTTAAAAGTAGAAGAAGAAAACAGATTCAGCATTGATGAAATGACAATACCGTACAAAGGTCGTAAAGCTGGAAAAAAGAAACAGTACAACCCTCAAAAACCACGCAAATGGGGTTTTAAGAACCTAGTAAGAGCGGTAGTATCAGGAATCAAATATGATTTCTTTTTATATTGCGGCGAAGATAGTTTTCGTTGCTCAGATATTCACTTTGAAAATGATGAAATGTTACTTGGTTGGGGGGCTAAAGCTGTAATCGCATTATGCAAAAGTATTAAACGCAAGGCTTGCGTAGTATATTTTGATAACTTTTTTAGTTCTCTTGCTCTTGTACAAATGCTGCGCCAGAAATATGGAATATTTAGTCTTGGAACTATTAGATCTAATCGACTCAGAGGCTGTGAAAAACAACTAATAGATGACAAAACTTTAAAAAAAAGAGGAAGAGGTGCGTTCGTTCAATTGGTATGCAACGAAAATCAAATTTCTGTCGTAAAGTGGTATGACAACAAGTGTGTAACATTAGTGAGTTCATACATCGACTCCTACCCAAAAGAGACCACAAATAGATATGATAAGGTTGAGAAACGTAAAATACCGGTAAATTTACCCCAAATTGTGAAACATTATAATGCTCACAAGGGAGGAGTGGATTTGGCTGACATGTTGGTGGCTTTATACAGAACTGAGATGAAATCAAGAAGGTGGTATTTATCGATTTTTTCCCAAATGATTGATATTTGCATTAACAATGCGTGGCTAATGTATAAAAGAAATATGAAAAGGCTTAAGGAAAAACCGATGATGCTAAAAAATTCAGAATAAATGTCAGCGAAGAACTTATAAAATTTGGAAGACCCTCTTTGCCAGTTGAAGTACCGTGCATATCTTCGTCCAAAAAGATTGCTGCACCGAAAAGAAGCCGGCCCTGCGATAATATCCGTCGTGATAAAGTTAGCCATGAGCAAGCCGGTACCACTTATGGGCGTTGTCGGTATTGTAAAAAAGGGCAAACAAATGTTTTTTGTACCGAATGTCAGCTTAGACTTTGTTTTAACCCAAATAAGCGAAACTGCTTTTATAATTTCCATAATGATTAACTTTTGATAATTTCTTTCATTCCTATTGTTTATTTTACTTTTCACCCAAAATGATCTGTGAGTTAGATATGTATAGTATATTATACTAATGTTTAAAGCGCATCTTTTTTGAACATCAAGATATGTATACTATATTATACTAAACATTTCTAAAAAATGCACGCCTGGTTATTTTATTTTATATTTTACCCCTTTTACTTACACGCAATATATGAAAATAAATTTAAAAAAAACAGTAACTAAATGAAAAAAAATCCTGCCAAATTAAGGGTTAAAGCCCAAGGATTTGCTGAGAATGGCTCAGATCTGCCGTCACTGGAGGTGAGTGCATAATAGGGAAACTAAATTGGGTGTTTTTCTAAATACTAGTTCCGTCCATTTGGTTAGAATACCTGGCTTCAACGTTTTGGGTATTTTTATAGAAGAGAAGACAAACGAGCATGTGGCTTAACTGGTGGTGAGTGAATACTGCTCGAACTTACTCAATATGATCTAAAAGAATCACAGAAATGTGAAGCTGAACGCAATAAGAGTATCCATCAGCCCATTACAAATTTTGTTAAAAATTATTTTATTACCCAAAAAATGTTTTCGCATTCCTAAGTCGGCCTTTAAGGTTGCCCTAGTCGATGGCACGAACTAAGTGGTGGGCGGGGCAAAAATGCATGCTATCTCAGCCGACATCTCGTGCGAAAGGGATAGACGCTGTGATGAGCAGTAAGAAGCTAGTGCGCACACACATACGCACTCGAGTGACGCAATGCGCGACGGCATCATCGCGTACCTAGGTACCTATGCGATTCATTTTAGAATAATAACATAAACTCAAACGGCAATTGTGAACTTCGTGCCGCAATAGCTTAGCAATGAGTAGCTGCGCTGAGTGCCGAGGGTTCGAATCCCCCACGGAACAAATATTTTGTATGGACTACAAATAGTTGTTCCGGGTCTGGATGTTTGTTCTTATGCAATTTATATTTGTAAACTGCCTCCACGATACTGGAGAAAATCGGGGATAACGTATTTTAAAAAGAGAAAGGAGAGAGAAAGCAAATTGGTGTTATTGTAACTTAGAATCTGCTGTGTGAAACGTAATTATTATGAACCCAATTTATGTACTTAGTTGTTATGATGAAAGTTCTTATGTGAACTTAAGTAGATGTTGTTATTATATAATAATTCCATTGATTTGTTTTTACCTACTTTTTAACCGACTTCGAAAAAAGGAGGTGGTTCTCAATTCGTTGGTTTTTGTTTATCCCTTTACAACCGATTGTGTACGAGCGTGACGATCGAAAAAATTTTTTTCCCGTGAAATTAACTAATTTTTGTGAACGCAACCGACTCCGTCGATCGTGTGTATGTTTTCCGTTTATATAGACAAAACGTTGACTTGTCGTAACCCATCAGTGGCCAGCGGACCGTTGTCAGAGATGGCTGCATACTTTGGCGAGGGCGCGCGTTCATGTAAGTACATTATTTTCTCACACTTTACATTATATGTTGACTGATTTTGTTTTCATTGTTTATGGTATTAATCAAACTAAACGATATCATGTTTGAAATTGAAATAATAGCGTGTTTCTTGCGCCTATGATCTTGTAAGCATAGATCGTCACGATCGTGACGATCCGGGTTCCATTGCAATATTTACTATTAAAAATCGACAATTTCAAACTACGTTTTTTCCACGTTGTACGTCCGTTAATTTTTTGTTTTATTGTTTTTAGGCACAATTTTGCGGGATGAAGATATTTTGAACCTCATACAAGACGGAAGTGATTCTGACATTGAGGAACTTTACGATGGTGGTGAAAAAGATGTTGACCCTGTATTGTTTCAAGATATCCTTGAGAAGGAAAATGAATATCCTGTCTCAGAGCCAGAAACTACAGATTCCGCATCAGCTCAACCTCAGTCTACTCCAAAACAATTGATACGATCATCTAATGAGGTAATTTTTCAAAATTGTTCTACTAAACGAACAGCTGCATGGAAGCAAACTGATTTCAATGACAAGGATCATAACCATCCCTGTCCACCTTCGAAACAAGTAAGGACACCTAGTCAGTATGTACAAGACTACTTTTATGAAGATTTTTTCGAACTTGCCGCTCATTTCTCCAACATTTACCACCTTCGCAAAAACGGAACAGAGCTTAAAACTACACCACAGGAGATAGCAAAATTGTTCGGCATCCACTTGATAATGGGCGTCATCCTGTATCATCGCATACCAATGTACTGGCGATCGTCTACAAAACTGCCCTTAATTTCAAACAGCATGAGCGGTGACCGATTCCTTCAATTGAGAAATTCCCTTCACGTTGTCGATTTCGATACGCCACCACTACGAAACGACAATTCTCCTCTTAATCCACTTTGGAAAGTGCAACCTATCATCGACCGAGTTCGGGATGCTTGTTATAAGCTAGAGAGAGTTCCTGGATACTATAGTATTGATGAACAGATGATACCATTCACGGGACGTTGTGCATTGAGACAAGTCGTAAAAAATAAGCCACGGCCAACAGAATTAAAAAAAATTGTCATTACTGCTAGCGATGGCCTCATGATCGATTTTGAGATTTATAAAGGTGCCAAGACAAAGTGTTTGGGGATACGAGCTTAGGCCTTGGTCCATCATTTGTTCTGTATTTAACAAAGACTGTTCCGCCTGGTAGCTGTGTGTACCACGATTGTTATTTCACAACGATATCATTGTTAGAGGGGATGGATCGGCAGAATTTGCACAGTACTGGTACCTTAATGATGAACAGGATTCCTGGGAGAGCAGCGCTGACATTTAAGAAAGACTATGTTTCGTGGCGAAAGTCAACAATTTGTCAGAGAACCGTTATCATTGGTAAAATGGAAAGATAACAAATCAGTTTTGATGGTTTCTAATTGTACTGGTGCCGAAAAAACTGATTATGTAAAAAGATGGGAAAAATTAACAAAATCCTACAAGGATATTACTGCTCAACTAATTACAACAAACACATGGGTGGAGTGGACGTCCTAGACCAGATGATGGAGTACAATCGGATTTTTATAAAAACTAAAAAATGGACTCTCAAAGTGCTTATTTACTTTCTAGATTTGGCAGTGGTTAACGGACGGCGGAAGTATCAAATCGATTGTAAGGCTATTTATTAAGCTCTCGAGGAAAAAATATTAGCCCTTTTAGATTTTAAAATGGAAGTAGCTGATGCTTGGTTAAATACACCAGCCCGCAACCGGCAATTAAGTCACGCCACTGACACAGAAGATGAGCAACCGCCAGCAAAGAAAAAGTATATGCCATCATGTACGCCTTGCCATGCCATTACATGCCTTCTGATGCTAAAAGGTATGACGGTTACGATCATCTACCTACATTCGACGAATTATCGGCACCACGCTCATGCAGGCTAGAAACGTGCACTAGTCGAAGCAAAATTCGTTGCATAAAATGCAACGTTTACTTGTGCCTTTCGAGA